TATATATATGTTTTTTTTAAATATTATTTTTGTGTGTGTGTGTGTGTGTGTGTGTTTGTGAGCACCCATCTAGCATTATAAACTTGAAAGGTTCGAGGTGCTTGTTTTGCTCAGTTGATACCAGACCGTTTCACACCTTTTTTTATAACACACCAAACCGGTCATAATTGGTCGCTTTTAAGGACAAGCGGTCAAATCCAGAGGCAAATGACACCAAACTTCTCCTATTGGTAGAGCAATATCCATTTTTAATGTAGTTCAAGAATTCTGGAAACCCCCGAAATGTGGGCCAGCCCGCTTGTCCTCAAAAACGACCATTTTATTGTTGAACACTCTGATTGCTTTCGTTAGTTTCTTTTCCGTATCATTTCACACTTGACTTTCAACTAGATCTAGTTGATGATTACTCCTTTAAACTCTTTTGAAATCTGTGCAGAGGTGACCGAGCTATTGTCTTTTAGGAGGGTCCTTTTCATTTATTTTTCAAAACACTGCACTTAAAGTAGGCTAACCCATCAATGCCACATCACTCATTAACAGTCAAAGTGCCTTCAATAATGAAATTGTGCTATGAAAGCGTGTGTAGGCGACAAAATAGCTTTTTTCGGGTTATAAAACAATGAAGGAAGGTGATCGGTAGAAGTCCTGTAAGTACGCTAAAGACAAGTTTCCAAACAACCAGCAACCACTAGAACAAATTTCGAGCATTGTGAAGATAGTGGAAGAAAGCAGGGTTGTATTTGGGAATTGCAAATTATGAACTACAAAGCTGTCAGAATTGTACGTTTTTTTATGTAAAGAAAAGGTCTTTAATTTTTTGTTAAATCTTTTGTAAGACAATTGAGAATTTCTGGCCATACAAACATATATACATCAAATGGACTAGAGGCACTGCTTCTTTGTGGAAGTAAAATAGAGCGAATGAAGAGCAGAGGGAGACAAAGAACATCAACAAGAGATGGCCGCGACATATTGTTAAGAAATGAAGAAATGACAAAGCTGCTCCACAGTCTGGTCAAGAATACACCCTTAGCCAAGACAAGGATCATGCGCACTCTCCCTACGCCTTACTTTGCATTCATCACACCAAGTTGAGCCTGTTTTATAAGAGGTTCATTAGGTTATCATTACGGAGCAGTAACTGTGCCATCAAGGACAATGTTACGTCGGTGTTCACAGGCTTAATTAGCCACCACCTACCACCCTCACAGCAAGACTCAAGATGATGGTAACATCAACTATAGTACGACGGAAAACAGTACGACATAATGTTTCCGTGTTTTGTAACCTTGTCACGACGCAGTGGAATCAGCCGCTCGTCAATTATTCCGCTTGTGGAGTTACTGGGATCCTCTGAAAGCTTATTATGTTGCTTTGCTTTCAATGATAAAAAAATTAAAACCTATCTTTCGTGAATAGGAGTCAAAATATTTGCGATTGAAAGAAGTGAAGTCTCCGGATTTCAGAGTTGAAATTAGAGAGAAAATAATATTGATGCCAAAGTTTGGTAACTCCAATAGTTAAAGAGTCCTTGAAAACTGAAAATTGACATATTTGGTGCGTTTACTCAAAGGTTTTCAGTTAAATTTACATGGAAATGTGTTTTTATGTGGACATAGAACGGGTTGAGCCAAAAATCACAAATTCGATCATAATGGCCAAACGGTCCTCCGAATTTCGTTATTTTAACGTGTGCCTGAATCCACCACTGTGCCTCACACTTGTCGACTGTGACCTAAGTGAAACTGGAGTAGGGTAAAGGTGTAGGCTGATAACAATGCCGATTATAATCTGTAATTACTGTCTTCTGGGTTACATATCATAATTATGTACCTGAATGTTTCTAATCATGGTAGCTAGTCTTGTCACTGTACTCAACAAGCTTTCACAGTGTTCGTCCGCGACCTCCCCAGTAGCTTACATCATCATCATCATCATCATCATCATCATCATCATCATCATCATCATCATCA